TTTGCTAAGGTTCTGCCCTTTCAGCCTCCTTCTGGACGGGGGCTTCTGTAAAAAGCTGGCTGCAGTTCGCCATCTTGGCTCTGCCCCCCTAGTTGTCTGTTTTAAATGCCACATGAATTTTGTGAACACCCTGTATTGATTGCGTTGATTCTATAGATAAAGGAGAGAGTTCTGTCATCTTAAAAACTTTAAGTCTTCAAATCCATGAATATGTGATGTCGTTCTATATGCTTAGAGCTTATTTGATTTCTTCAAACACCAGTTTCCAGTATACAAGCCTTTTAGTTATTTTGGTGAATTTGTTTCTTGACTATTTTATTCCCTTCAATGCTGATGTAATCAAATGGTCTTTTAAAGTTCCTCTTTGGATTGTTCATTGTAAGTATATAGCAGTCCATTTTTTTTTGAAACAGAGTCTTACTATATCACCTGGGTAGAGTGCTGGGGCATCACAGCTCCCAGGAACCTCAAAGTCTTGGGCTCAAGCGATCCTCTTGCCTCAGCTTCCCAAGTAGCTGAGACAACAGGTGCCTGCCATAATGCCTGGCTAGTTTTTCTATTTTTAGTAGAGTCGAGGTCTTACTTTGCTCAAACTCCTGATTTCAGGCGATCCAACTGCCTTTGCCTACCAGAATGCTAGGATTATAGGCATGAGCCACTACAACCAGCCAGAAATCCATTTTTTAAAAATATTCACCATGTATATCATAACCTTGATAAGCTCATCTATTAGTTCTAATAGTTTGCTCATGGATTTCTTAGGATTATCTGTATACAACATCGTGTCACCTGAAAACAGAGATAACTTTACTTCCTTTCTAATCTGGATGCCACATATGTCCCCAGATTTTGGGTTTCACCTGTTCAGCAACCCCAGGAAGCCCCCTCTTTGTGCTTCACTTGGATGTTAGCACCAGGAGGCCTATGAATTGTGGTACTTCAGTAAATCCTAGCCAGGGTGGGAGTGGCCAGGCTCTACTTGGTGCTGGTATCTGCAGTCTCTTCAGAAGGTTCTCTTAGAACTATTTTCTCTTGTGATTTTTAGATAAGGAGGAGAAGGAAAAGGTTGGCACACTATTCCCCCAGGTATTTCACACTTGAGTGGATTTTCCCATTTGAAGGAACTTCTAGTCTTTTCTTCACATGGTCTGGAGTTGGACGATAGAGCAGCATTCAGGAAATCAGTTTAGACACATTTCAGTAAAATTTTGTGGATATACTGAGTAGCTCTTCTTTAGAAATTGAGGCAACATCTTATTATAATATTCTATTTACACTTGAAAATGTGTATACTCTATGACATTAAAGTTCCTCTTCTAGGAATTTGCCCTAAGGAAGTAACTAGAAAAGATATAGCTTCAATATTCAAAGTAAAAGGTTTAGATTCAATGTAATTATCCAAGCAAAGAGAGCTTGTTAAGTAATGCAGAGGACTACTGGGTAGCCATTATAAAGAAAATCATAGAAGATTACTAATGCCATAAAAGGATTTGCACAGTATTAATTAAGGGATGAAACTGAGTTATAAAGTAATATATGTATTATAATTCTATTTTTATAAAAGAAAAAACATTCATACATAGGAAAAAAAGATCTGAAGAGAAGTAATCAAATCATTGCAGGCAACAAGTACCTTTCAGGTAATCACAGGTCTTTTTATTTTCTTTTTGTTTATCTATATTCTGAATAACTACTACATGAAGAATGTGTCTAATTGCCCCCAGGATAGAATTAAGGTCAAGAGGCAAAAGTTGTGTAGACACAGCTTCCTGTTCAATACAAAGAATTTTCTAATACTCAGGATTTTGGTCTTCAAGAAATACTGACTTCCTCATGATTGGAGGCAGTTTAGCCTTGTGTGGGTGATTATTTGGTAATGGTGATCTAGAGAGAACTGGCTTGGAGCCTGCCTATTATGTGGCAGCAGCATAAAGTGTTGATGGGCTATGCGTCTACAAAAGCAGAAGGCAAGTTCATTTCCCTTTGAGATCACTAAGAATACTCACATGGCATTGCATTTTCTCTTTCTTTTAGCCTGTTGGCCTTTGCACAGGTTCTCTGGTACGAACAGACCTGATACTACCAGACCGGATACTAACATACGCAGAAAAGTTAGTCACTGTGACATGTTACCTCTTTGAAACACAGGTAATTTTCAATCTTGTTTGTCTTCCTGTGAAGAGCAGACTGTCTATATTTACCTGCCATGATCCTACCCCTTCCTGTGAGTTTTTTTGAGTCTCTAAGATCTACAATTGCCACTTACTTGGGCTGCCCTAGGGCCACACCACAGGGTAACTGGCCAAAGACCTGTCCAGCTTCGTTGCCACCAAAGTGTAGCCCTACACAATAGGGGAGACGCATTCAGAAATAGGGGACTTCTGGCTAGGGTGGCTCAAGCCTCTGAGGCATTAAACTCAATGTCCTCAAGAAACCTTAGCCCAAACCACTGGGAGAAGGCATTTTCCTAAAAACATTCAATCCCTTTCTAGAAGTATTTATTGAGCACTTATTATAAGGTATCCTGGTATAGTTGAGAGGGCAGTTGGGATAGGGCATCTGGGATCCAGTCAGCCTCTGCCACCTGTGAGCTGTATGACAATAAGCTCAGATCCCTAAGTTTGGTTGGGATTGCAACATCTGCCTCATTCAGATCCATGTGAGGAGCAAAGTAAAGGATTGAATGAAAGACATTGTATAGAGCCTGGTGCAGAATTGGCAAGTGCCTGCTGCTGCCACTACTGTGAACAGAAAGACAGCTGCCTGGGGACTTGGAACAAGTTATTGGATTTCTTTGGGACATTGTTCAACTCTAAAATTGGGAGGCTTGCAGTCAAGTTTGCACAGGTGCTGGTTCCTGTGGCTATTATCTATTTTACTTTTTAACCCTTTCACCAGAAATCCCATCCATCTACCTAAGTCTCCCTTTGAAACATTCCAACATAAAATCACAGATTAGCTTAGCCTGGCACCAGGGATGGTGGGGCCTTCCCTGGGCAACTCTGCATTGAACAAATGTTCTTATTACAGGCTCCGACCCCTGGAGGTGAAAACTCTGCTGTTAACCAGGAACCTGAAAACCTCCCCAAGGTCCAAGGACCTCAGCAGGCAAACACATCTCTCA